GAAAGCCCTTATGATAGAGTAAAAGCAAATTTTTAAATGAGGTCAACTTTTTTTGCCCCCATCAGCACCCAGCATATCATCAAAATTTATATTCTTTATACTAAAATTTCTGGGAAATGATAGAATGCCACAAGCCAGGATATTATATTTCTTATTTGTTTTTTGGAATATGGAAATATACATGCACGTATGTGCACATGTGAGTGTGCACACCTGCACAACCAATTGGTAATGGGCACACAGATGGTGTGGGGATGAAAGATTCTAAGCTGGATGTTTGTGGGTTTGGAGTTTGGGAAATAGCCTAAGAGATTAGGGTGGAGGTAGAAAGCTCTTCAGGGATCTTTATTCCTTATTGGAATCCCAGAATTCCATGAGCCTTAAAAATCATCTAGTGCAGTTATTCTAAAATCATGCTCTAAGGAAACCCAGGATGTCAAGAATATGCCTCAGTGATCTACAAACAAGTAAATGTCTGTCATACAAACAAACAAACAAACAAAAATCCCTGTAAACTACCTAAAAATGTATTCATCACTTTTAACTATTTTTATATTTTAATGTTCAAAATTATCTATTTAGTCCAACTGTCTCATTTGACAGGTCAAGAAACTTAGAACAATAAAATAACCTTCTCAAAGTCTCAAACTAGTTAGTGTATGGTTAGGATCATGTCTTAGTCTGAGTTCTTCTCAAAGCAAATCTCAAGACAGACTTGGGTTCAGGTTGCTTCTTTAAGAAGTGACCCTCAGAAATCTGAGTGAGAAAATAGGGAAAGTGAGATAAGGAAGAAAAAATATAATAAAGATACATGAATGAATGGACTACTAGTGTGGCAGCTAGGGCTTGGTCTTGCTGGGGAGCTTCCGAGAAACCTTGTGGAGTAGGCCTCTGAATGATCCCACCCAGAAATTGGACGACTGTGTTTCCACCCACTACATCCCATTCCTCATGTATAGAGGGTTGCCCTTGGGGACCTTAACTCACCTGCACTTCTGAGCCACAGAGTAAGCACCCAAGGCTCTACTGAAAGCCTCAGGTGAGTAGTGGAGAACCACCCTACTTGAGGTGAGAATCAGCATGCAGGAAACTGTTCATCACAGCTGCAAGTAAGCTCAGGTGGGCCCAGGTGCAATGGAGCAAGGTATCTACAGCATCCACAGCACTTGAACCCAGGGCATCTTACTCCCAAGCCTCGTTTCACTGATGTAACACTAAAGAAATGTGTTTATACTGAAAAGCATTCTTCTATTCTTCATCAGACACCTGCCTTCCTGATGAGCTAGTTTCAAACACACAGCAACCTAAGCCATCACTACTTTTCAGGATGCCACAGAATAAGAGCCATTTCACATATACCGTATACAGATAAATTTACTCTATTTCAACTTCAGTCAGTTGAATGCTTCCCTAAGAGAGGGATCTAGGATTTCATCAAATGAAAGTGAACTAGATAACAGGGATCCAGCCAGGATTTTTCTTCCAAAGGAATATTGTTCTACAAGAAAGCCAAGGCAAAGGCATTCTGAGAGATTCCTAAGGAGTACACAGAGCTGAAAAGCTGATGTGAGATGTGAATGAGTTTAGCCCATGAGTTGGACCTAAGGATGTAATAGAGAACATGCTGGTAAGCCACAATTATTAGGGATGAAAAAGTAAAGTAGAAGGCAGGGTGATCAGCTGAGAAGACTCCTAGTGATGAGAATGACACAGACAGCTGTCATTTCCTTTTCTCACTTTATTTAAGATACTGATTATTTTACCATGGTTGATGATGATGCCAAAATATAAGCACACAGACATTTTCCAGTCCCTGACCCACTAACAATTTTATATCTTCCCTGCAGGATTTTGGAATACTTTTCATAATTAAAAGAAATCTTGGAAATGTATTCTATTTTCCACAGTGAATGGTTTAAGATAACATTTGGGTTTAAGTGAGCATAACTTTTTATTAATAGTACTCTGCTGCCACTTAAATATTGCAGAGGAATGAGATTCATAAGATCCTCTTCTTCAATAATCTAAATCATTTTAGGTTATGCAAGATTCTTGTATTCTTAATAAATGTATATTTATGGTACTGTTATCCCCATATATAAATTTATTTTTGAATATCTGGATTCACCTGCACACCCACTGATAGGGTTTGGCTGTGTCCCCACCCAAATCTCAACTTGAATTGTAGCTCCCAGAATTCCCATGTGTTATGGGAGGGATCCGGGGGAGGGTCGCTAACTTAGTAAGTGCTTTTCTTATAGAACCCCTTCTTACTGAGCAATTGAATCACGGAGGCCAGTCTTTCCTGTGCAATGCTCATGATGGTGAATAAGTCTCATGAGATCTGATGGGTTTATCAGGGCTTTCCACTTTTGCTTCTTCCCCATTTTTCTCTTGCCCCCACTATGTAAGAGGCGCCTTTTTCCTCTCACCATGATTCTGAGGCCTCTCCAGCCATGTGGAACTGTAAGTCCAATTAAACCTCTTTTCTTTCCCAGTTTCAGTTATGTCTTTATCAGCAGCGTGAAAATGGACTGATATACCCACATAGCAAAAACTATCACAGAAGCTACAATGAGGAGAAATATTTAGTCAATGCCAGGCAATGTACCATAAACTCTACGTATTTCCTGAATTCAAATAACTCATTGATATTATTTCCAACTCATTGAAACACATTGATCAGCAGCTTAAATATTAGAAGGCACAATGATAGACTCTGTAATAGATACAAAAATGGATCAGGAATAATCCATGTCCTCAAGGAAGCTATAGCCTAGTAGAACCAAAAATCACTTTAATATAAGATATAGTATGTTTTGTCATTAAAGCATTGTAAGTAAATGGCATAGGAGTTCAACTATAAAACTTTGGTGATATGAAATGAGACCCTAATCCTGTGGTGGAGAGTGGTAAAGACCAAAAAAAATCACATAAAGCCTTGGAAAACTTGCACCTACATTCAAAATTCTCTGCAGCTGTGAATTGATAAATTTGATTTGTTATCTGGAAGACTGCTTAAGTCCTGGCACTATGTGGCTTTACACCCTTGACTTTCTGTTTACCCCTCTAGTTCTATATCTTTCTTGTCTTTAGATTTCAAAAAATAAAAATGTTAAGGTCTGAAGAACAGACTTGAGATAGGTCCAATCCCTTTTAGGTTCACAAATTATCTCTTGTCTTCTTCAGCATAAGTCATGGAGAGCACTTATCTAAGTTTGCCTCTTATCTAAACAGGCACACACTCTGCACCAATAGACTGTATTCAGGAGCAGAAGTAGATAAAAATTATCTGTTTTGTTAAAGTACTACATGCCTAGAGTAATATTTATTTTGCATTCTTCTCCCATGAAAATTTTTCCTAAAGAAAGACTCCAAATAGTTCAAATGAAAGGGATTTCAAAAATGCCAATTAATCAAGCTGAAAGTTTCTTAAACTTTCTGGTGGAAAACAACTAAAGAATATACACCTTTGAAAATGCTTTTCATAATGGGAAAGGAAATAAAACATGATAAGAATTAACATACAGTATACTAATAATTTTTCATGCATCACTTTTTCCAATCCTTATAGAAACCTTGTGAAATAGTTACTCTTATAAATACCATTGTACAAAAAGAGAAACTGAGGCTTCGAAAAAATAAGTCATTGGTGAATATTATGGGAAGTTGGGATTTGAGCCTGGATCTTGCTGATTCTAAGTTTGTAAACTTAACTACTGCTAACAGTTTCAGAATTCATTCATGTGTTCTCGTTAGTAAGCTAGAAATAAGATCTGTGGTAATACACACATATGCACAATATTAATTTGTATGTCAATGAACATGACTATTTGATCAAAATATGATGCCACCTTAATCATAAACCATGTTTTGTATGGTTTAATTAACATTCATATGAAGTAATTGATCCTGAAAATTACTTTAGTAAGGCTTCATAGTAAATGTTTTTCTATAATTCCTATAGAGAGAAGGGGAAATCAGTGGCAGAAAATATGTAACCTGAAATATTTGGGGGCTAGAAGCACTATTTTTCCCATAAAAATGCCAATGACTTCATGTTTATACTAAGAGTGCAAATAATCAGAAAATCCAGCGACCCATCATGATTCATTTCTTAACCTGCAAGCACTTTGCCAATGTGCACCTAAAAGTTCTCCGCAATGTGAATAAGAACATCTTGCAGTTACTACCTTGTATAGAGATCACGTATACAGAAACTGCTACTCAAATATTATCAAAATACTGTCTTTGTCCTTTGATCACACACACCCAACCCAGCATACCCACAACTCAACAGAATACTTCATTAGAGGAAACATAAGAGTTCTGTTCAAAATCTCAGCAAAAGTTGGTCAACTAATTTTTAGAAAATTCACTATGAAATCAAAAAGACTTATCCAAAGAGCTGAGATGTTACACCCATTCCATTACGGCACAATGTTACGTCATGAACATGGGCTGATAAATCACTGGTGAGTTAAATGGCAACGCTTCATTCAGGAGGCTGTTCTGCTTTACACATCTGAAAACTACTTAGCAAGGGTCTGCATCTCCTAACTACAGAAGCTACAGTCTTCTGAAAGACGAAGGTCTTTACACAGTTTAGTGCTCGGTGTTCTTGGCACAACAACGCAGTGTAGTTCAGAAGTTATTTTGGCAACTCTTAATCTGAGCAAGAATATGGCTTTTGAAAAATAAGGTTTTAAGGAGGTTTGTCATTTTAGGTCTAAATTTGAATATAATATGACTCTGAACTCTTACATTTAGAACAAACAAAACCTTAAAATTACGAATTGGTTCAAAATGAGTTTCTGGAGAAATTAATCTGTAACAAAAAGTTGGCATTGAGTGTGAAGGCTCAGCCTTTTTTTAAGCAAAGTGTACAAGATTCAAAGGGACAGGACCAAGAACAAGGGGCTGAGACATTTACAACAGCAGGCATTTTCTCTTCCTCTTCTTTACGGGAGGTAGGCAGAGGACTGCTTGAATCTCTTCGTCTAACACTGTTGAGGCCTCACTGTGTGAGCGCCGAGCACTCCAGGTATTTTACAGCACCAGTCTCAGCTATAGCTAGACCCTGCAGATAGGTGATGGGAGTCAGCTTCTTCTTCAGTTTCTCGATCGTGTCTTTATCATCCCTAAGTTCAAGTTTAGTTCCCACTAGAATGATGGGAGTGTTGGGACGGTGGTGCCGCACCTCAGGATACCACTTTGCACGGACATTTTCAAATGATGCAGGACTCACAAGGGAAAAGCAAATTAAGAACACATCTGTTTGAGGATAGGATAGGGGGCATGATCTGTCATAATCTTCTTGAGCAGCTGTATCCCATAAGCTCAGATTCACCGGTTTTCCATCTACCATAACATTGGCAGAATAATTGTCAAAGACAGTAGGGATATATTCTCCAGGAAATGCATTGGTTGTGTAACTGATCAGTAGGCAAGTTTCACCTACAACTCCGTCTCCCACCACCACACCCCGATGGCCTGCATCTGAGCCACTCGCTCGGCCATGGGGGCAGCGGCAGGGCTCTGAGACCAGAAGCGGTGGGTACAAGGAATAAGTGTCAAAGGTAAAAACTCTAAAACATTAATTTCTGTCAAATGCAGTGGATGATGAAAGAAAGGTTGTTATTATCAGGAAGTGTTTTCTTAAGCTTTTCCTTTCTCTTACACCAGTCATCCCTCCACAAATTGGGCATTTAATTCGTCTTTAAACTGGTTGTTCTCTTAGTCTCTAACTTAGTAAGTGCTTTTCTTATAGAACCTCTTCTTACTGAGCAATATGCCTTCTTGTATTATAAAATATTTCTCATAATGCATTAGAAGGTTTTTTTGTAGATTAGTAAAAGTGCTTTCTATGTTACTTTATTCAAAGCTATTAAGTGCTTTCCTTAGTTTTCTAGTAACTAGGTATAAAAATCATGTGTTGCAGTTTTATGGTTTTTAAAATATTTTAGATATTTCTTAAACTATGAACCTTCTTAACATCACTGACTTGTCAGATTACCCACACTGTCACTTAACCAATACTGACCCTCTTTACCTCACCTATGTGGACACATGCCTCCTGTAGTTACTTAGTCTAATGATGTTCCTTTGGGTCTGTGAGGTTCTGTAAGCTGTGCTGGTGTTGACGATCTTCTGTACAACTTAACTCACTGGCAAGAATACAACGCTGGACCTTTCAACCACTAGAAAAAAAATTTTTAAGTTGACAGTTGCAGAATTGTGGAGTGTTTTTACATTGATCTTTTGCTAATGCAATTAGTATGTTTTGCATGTATGACTTAATAAATCCTTGAATCATTAAAAAAAACCTGCTACTCAAATATTTTGAGCTGCTTTGTGAAGAAATGTCCAACTTAAGGTTGAATGTTAATATCAAAAAATACCAAAAAGGTAGAAGAGTTATTGATTACAAAAAAATACAGTAAGTTCCTTCAAAGAAAGAGTATTGAAGCACAATGCTCAACCCCTAACAAATATGCTTTTTAAATTTATGTTCAGGAGGGTGTGTGTGTGTGTGCACGCACATGTGCCTGTGCACATGCTTTCTTATTTCATTTAAGTGTGATATTCAAAACATTTAGTAACTGGCAGGGCACAGATACCAACCAAGTTAAATAGAGCCCCCTCTTGTAACAGGGGCTCTGGAGGGCCTTGCTTTGCTAGGTGTGAACAATTTAATGGTGGAATGAAGAACAGTGAAGGGCTGGGGGTCCTATGGAGGATGTCTGAGCCAGTGGAGCTGGAATGATTGGGTCAGCAAGGAGCTATTAGGGAGTTGGAGCAGCAGCTCTTTGTAATTATTTAAATATTTTCACCACCAATAGGGCCACAGTGGTGTGTACCAACCAGACATTATCAGCTGAGACTATTGAAAAATAACATAATATACACAAACTAATATGGATACTAGAAAACAGCATTTTAAGCATATTTTGTATTGGGAACTTTGATCAAACAGATACCAACAAATTAAAGAGTATTATTACGATGATGCAATTCTAACTTCATATTTGCCCATTTTTCTACCTGCCACCAGCTTACCCTCTCCATACACAAACTAACGGGCCTTCTCAGATATATTTAGGAGAGTGGACTAAGGACATCAAGAGCTGAGAATCAAAATTTGAATTCAAGGCCTCCCAACTTGTGGTGAAAGCAGCAAATCCCAGAAACATGGATATATTTTCTTCTGCTGATATATCTCTATTAATTATCCAGGATTCCCCCATCCACTCCATCTCTGTCCTGTAACACTATGAAGGAGCAGTGAGTCTATTTTCTTCTCCTTCTACCTCATTTGCCTAACAGTACATCCCACAAAAGCACAAATTTCTTGTGGTTTTCCCCAAATGCTGTACACTTAGAGAAAAGGCATATATGGCCATCTTCTCACAACTTCACTCACCAATCCCTGGTCATATACGTCCCTGAGTGCAGATGGAGCCTAAGGAGAAGGAAGCATGCTTAGTTGCACAAATGTGCATCTGAAAAAACTGTAAACCATGAAACTATTCATCCCCAGGTAATGTTTACAGAACGCATAATCCTTTCCCTTTCAGTTTGCTATTATATTGCTCAGGGAATGGAATAAATAGCTCATTTTCTATCTCATGTTTTCACTCTCTTATTTGTGTCCTGGGGATTTGAGTTGTTTTCCTACCATTAGAGGTACCTGTTTCTAATTTTAATAATTTCAGATTCTATGATTGATATATAGCAAAAGAATAAATGGAGAAGATTCAAAAGTGTCTCAAACAATCACGTCAGACTCCTACCAATGGCTGTGTTGTCAATTGCTAGAATCAGCGACTGTTCTCAGGTTTCTTGGCTTTTTTGGAGATACAGAAACATTGATGATTAACAGCTGTGTTGATCGCAATTGCTAGTACACATTAGCATTTCCACAGAACTTCCATAAAATTAGTTAACAGCTTGTATGCTACAGACCTATTATACACTACAAGAACAAAGCACATATTTATGCATATGCACGTGTGTGCATGCAGGCGTGTGTGTGTATGCACACACACACGTATGCACACACACACACACACACACACACAAACCATTTGGGTGCAGAGGGGCGGAATTGTAAACACTGCTAAAGAATTTATTGGTTATAGGTCAAAGGAGGTCTGAGAAACCCAACCCAAACAAAATGTAATCATATGGATCACATCCTCCTTCAAAATATTAAAACATTAGGATTCTCTTTACTTGTTCCTACATGTTGGTTCTCTGATACCTTATCATGACCCAGTAAAATACCACAATAAGGAAGCAGTCAGGGAAAACAAGAAGGTGATGGAAACCGCAGAAAGGCGTTGTAGAATTAAAAACACTAGGAGTCATGGTAGTAAGGCATGAATCTTCCTGGATTTAACAATCCTGTCTACCATAAAGGTAATCTTTTACTGTTGCTCATAAAATGAGGATGACAATGCCTCCAAGATTATAACTGCCCAAGTCTGCAGTGAGCACAACATGCAAATGCTATCTCTGGGGTCCCTGAATGACTGGACACGTGAAGATCTTCACCGACAGCTACTGAGCTGCTTCTGGTTTTGTTTTCTAAATTCACCGCCATTTATGGACAGAACACATTACTGACATATTGTCAAAGTGACGAAAGCAGACGAAAAACAGCAACAGTGGTTATTTCGAGGAGTCGTGAGGCTGGGACAGTCGTCGTCTGCTGGGAAGACAGATGAGTGGCCACAGGCTGCTGCAGCACTGGATGTGAAGCTAGCCTGCACAGTGCTCAGAGCCGACAGCACCGATGCCGCCGCTTGCCGTTCACTCCCCAGATTAAACCGTAGCCTCATCGCAACAATGTCTGAATCTGCCCTTCCCATCTCTTCTGCCAAGTTATTCTATGCTGAGATTACCTGCTGTGTCTACCTCATTACCAGTTATTACAAATCTGTGTACCTATTACCGTTTCTCCTGCTGCTGACTAGCTAAATTACCATGCACATGGAATAGATAACTTTGTACTCTGCTGAGCATGCTGACAGTCCTCTAGAAGTGAAATTCTATTTACAAGAGTTCACCACGGATTTAATCTGATTCACTTCAGGTCATATTTGCATCTAGAGATGTTTGCTTTCCCTATTCCAGGTTCACATTCCGAGCTCATTACTGAGCCCTCAGCACGGCTGGTTAGGGGTGGGACAGTCCCCACTGTGAAGGGGCTCCTCTGGATGAAAGGGAAGTTACATTCCAATAGTCATCTCTCTTTCCAGGTTACCTGTTTCCTGATATCCACTCAATAGGCCAAATAAACACGACTGAAGTAAGTAAACCTTAAAGCAGAGGTAACTTCAAAAATAGGTGAGAAATAAAGCATTTATTTGTTCTGTGTTAGTGAATGTGTATCTGATCAGCCCCAAAGCGTGGGCTGTGAGAGATGGGTATGGAAGTAGCAGTGCAATTTACTGCTTTGAACAGACTGCTTTCCAAACTCTGCAATGGACAATTTAGTCTAAACCACCGTGCGAAGTGCGGGTAATAAAAACAGGAAACCTGGGACCTCCAGTGGAACTAATCTTTGTGAAATAGTCATAGCCTTATGAAACTATAAAAAGCAAAGCCATTTTACCATATTATTTATTCCATGCTAGCATCTTCTGGATAAAAGAAAAGAGTGAAGAGGGAAAGGGAGAAACATGCATGTTATAGCTATTTAGGTCAAAATTTTAAACATTTTTGTTTAAGTGTGTGTGCGCGCCTTGCAAAGCTTTACTCAGAAGCCTTACTATCTTTGGGCTCTCCTTGTCATTTAACTATAACATCATAAATATTGTTTGGCTATTAGGCCATTTTTTGCACAAATTATATAAAAAGTTAGGTTTTGATGCTTAAAATAATTTTTGGTATTTCTTACACTGGGCAATATACTTAAAATCAAGAATTATAACCAATATTTTCAATGAGAGTGGAAAATAATTTTCACCAGAAAAGTGGTCATTTGCAGTCATGGATAGAGTGGATAGAGTACGCTAAGTCTAATATACGTCCACATTTGTTTTACTACTAGTGTCAGGATTTTTCCAGGATAGTTCTTTTCTCAAATATTTCTTATTCAAGTCTAAACAATAATGTGATCTTATACAATGTAAGCATCACAAAGACAAGAATGTTCTATCCCCATTAGAGTACATGGCACAAATCTAATGTATAGTAAATTTGAGGAAATGATAGAAATGTAATTCAAAATAAAATCTAATACAGTATATTCTTTCACTTCTTCTCAGGCCTCAAAATAAATCTTTCACTGCTAAAGGGTTAAACCAGGACTGTGTTATTCCCAGTCACTAATTAAAACCAAGTGGCAGAAACAGTACAGTGGTTTTACCCATTTATTATGAACCCACTTAAAATTCAATTAAATGGAAAGAGGAAAATACTGTGGTAGAGACCACAGGTTCTCACTGTGACCTTTTCAACTCACCTGGCTTTCATTGTAATATTATTAGGCCTAACTCTGGGCAAAAACACATTAATTGAATATGACTTATTCTAAGACTCGGTCAACTTAAGCACTGAATACTCAATTTCTCTAGTATTGGTTTGATTCTTTTTCCTTTTCTGGATCATGGATATAAGAGGAAATAAAGAAATATCTGATTGCAAACATTGGTGATTTACCCCAGTGAAGGATTAGGACAATTCAAACTGCAAATTTGGCCTTTGATTTCAGTGCGGAAATGATGGAGGCAGCAACATTTAAGTTTATCACAGGGCCCTTTCATCTCCAGCATTTGCCTTGCTATTTGTCAGATTTTTTGCACTCTCAATATCTGTCTACAACAAGACTTTCTAAAACCAGGCTGGCCTTGTGGACTGAATTTTTCAGAGCTTTCACAGAAGTCCCTTCCCTATGAACTCCCAAGCAACAACCTTAGGGAGACTGAAAATGTAACTTGGACCTTACCTGAATGACATTATCTTACTTTTTTTCTCACTCCCTAAAAGCAATCTGCAGGAATTTAGGCACCATTGTCTAGGAGTGCTGGCCCTTCTACCCCTCTACAGGCAGTCATACCAAGTGACCTCCCTGAATCAACGTAAGGAATGACCTAAACACTGGCTTTATGCAGCCCTACATTTTCATGGGCAGCAAGGTGGCGGAAATGAGTCATGTAGCAATTGAATGGGCAGATAATTTTTTCAGCCATCTGTTGTGCATATGTCTAGTGGATCATCACTGTCTTGGACCTCGCAGTTTTATACAGATGGTATTCTCCACAGTCAGAAAGGGTCTAAAATGAGTCAGTGCAAAGATCAGTATTCATATGAGAGATAATAGATAATTGCCTGTCTCACCATGTTTTAAAAATCAATTATCTTGTAATCTAACACCTTGAGCATGCAGTTTGGGGGTTTCCAGTTGTTAATTTGGACTTGCTTCTATGTGACTCTTATCTCATGCCACATCAAGTTTAAGGAGAAAAATAAGGAGACTATTGTTTAAGACTTCAATTTTGTTAACAATGTTCACTAAGATTATTCATTGTCTTTGCAGTAAGAGTTTAACTTTTATTTTTTTTTTGTTCATTCAATAAGTGATGTTTTCAGTAGTTTAACAAATATATACCCCACATTCTTAGCCCTGCTAAGAAAAAAGATATGCACTCATCACAGAAAAATGTACTGCAAATGAGACCCAGAACTGGTTTCTTCTTCAAGGTGCCAGGATATCTGACTTCCCAACTTTCATCATGAACTTGGCGCTCTCAGATAAAATGAAGATAAAATACATTTATCAAAGAACCCAGGTACAGAAAAGGCTTTACTGAAGTGGGAGTGAAAATTGATGAGTAAAAGCTTACTACAGAGAGACACCCCAGACTTCAAAAGAGTGTGTCTTCTGGGAGAAAAAAATAAATAGGCATATTTTAGGGGATAAATCCCTAATTCCACAGGATTTTCAGAAAAGGATACAGGAACATACCAGAAGCCATAATAGTCCAGTACTCTATCCCTATTTCTTCTTGAGAGAAAGCTGTATACGTTCAGAAGAATACAAAAACTTAGAATAGCAGTGCATGTTTGTAAAATAATAGAATTAAGAGTGAGAAAAAAATTAAAATATTGAAACCATCAATAATGACTTTTAGATGAAGGTAGGTTTTGAGCCAGATTCCAAAGGTTCCTAAGTGCATCAGTTGGCAGTGTGGAGTGGGCAGAGAGAGAAACAGACCAGGAGATGCTTTCCACAGACATCTGGGCTTCTCCCTCTTCACATCCATCACACTTTATCGAAGTTGTTAAAAATCTGGCTACCTGCAAAACCATAAACTCTATAAGGACAGATACAATGACAAAGTTACTTGCTTTGATAGTACTCGCTGAACACTTTAATGTTTGCTGACTAAATAGGGGTACAGATATTTACTTTGCCATAAAAATCCTCAGCACACTGAGCATGTAACATTATTTCATAGTTGGCTATCTGCTCTCTTTGCCATATTTAAGTTGCCTCCTCCACCATCACCAAACCAATCCCTGGCTCTGAGTCTCTAAGTCTCTAATTCTAAATGATTTGGCCCCTAGATCTGAGGCTGAAACATCTTACCCAGTGATTACTGATTACCTTTATCTACTAAACTACTCAGCTTAGCACTTAAAATATTTCATTCATTATTCCTTCCTTACCTAAACCACCCACATATTTCTCTTTCTAAAATAATCCTTATGCTCTCATTTTATTCCTGCTTATTAAATAAAAATTTGATGAATGATGATGATAGCCAGGGATATATCTAAGCACTTTATAGATACTATCTTGTTTAATCCTCACAACAGTGCTATGGAGCAGGTGGTGGTATTATCTTCAGGTTAAGATGAGGAAACCGAGATAGAGAAGGCTTAAATAATATGTCCAGTCAAGCTGCTAGGAAGAAGTGGGCACCACTTGAATTGAAACCCAAGCATCCTGGCTCCAAAGATCATGCTTTTCAATACTATGGTATACCTTTCTCCAAGGCACCTTAATGAGTGTTGACTATATTTGAGGTCATCATGAAAGAGCCCTTTCATCTCTAGTATTTGCTTTTGCTTTTTGTCAACCTTTTATGCTCCCTTGATATCTGTCTAGAAGAAGACTTTCCAACACAGGCTGTCCCAGAATATGGATTGAATTTTCCAGAGCTTTGATTGTGGTCCATTCTTAATGAGCTCCCAAGCAACTACCTTAGGGAGAATGAAAATATAACTTGGACCTTACCTGAATGACATCATTTGACTTACTTCTCATTCCCCGAAAGCAATCTGTCAGGAATTCAGAAAATTGTGCCAATTGCCAAGAAGGATGCTAAGATTGGATGGAAATAGACCTTGAAATTAAGATGCTTACTACGTGGAGAAAAGACTTGAATATAATGAGCAAAACACACTGAAGAAGTTGATGGATAACCTTTAACATAAGAAGGATTAGAACCAAGACTATCTCCTAGAATCCTTGCAGAGCCTTTCCCACTCACATGAAAAATAGGGACTGAAATTTGGCAAAGGATTGTGATCTACCTACTGGGTGAACTGCCCAACCCCTAAACTTCCTTCAAGGCCACTTAAAGACTTTCTCTTCTGAAAAGTTATCACTTACCAATCCTATACACAGTATAGTCTGTCTCTTATTCTGAATTTCCTGAGTATCCATAGCTTGAGACTGACCCACTCAATTACAAACATAATCAAATATTAGCTTAGAATTATATTTTAGATGGTTAAAGCATATGTTCTATCATCCTGAGAAAAATCTTAAACACTACAGAAACAACTACCATAAAACTATCTGAAAGTTCCTGAAATTCTCACTACA